TCCGCGATACCATATGTCTAAACTATTACAGTTATGTCACAACTAGAGGTCAACTTCGGTTTCACCCCCTTAATTTGAAGAAAAAGGTAAGGTATAGTGAGTCAAACTTAAAATATGGACATAGGCTGTCGTGAACTTTTTTACAGAACTTTTAAAGGGGAAGAATTCCATTATACATGATTTTTATGTAACTTTAACCGTTTACCAAGCGCGCAATGGATTATTTTTACACGTTTTTGCAACATTTTTAATCGATGCTCCGCTGCTGGTCGTAGCCTGGTAATATATAGCCTTCCTCGATAAATGCACCGTCCAACACAAAAAGAATTTCTCAAATCGGAACAGCAGAGCAATGTTGCATTCGGTACAACGGGTCCTAAACTACGCGACGAATTTTGTATTTGGAATGGATGGTTTATAATTATTATAAAGAAAGTCATTGTGTATAATACAAGCCTTTGAACATAAACTATAATCTATACTACAGCTCTACATCGAAGCAAAGCGAGGGCGGGCCACTAGTCGTTTATAATTACAAAACCAAAATTATCGCGAACTAATTATTAATAAATACAGGGAGTCCATTAAATATGTACCTACTAGCGAAATATTGGTTATTTGACATTATGTTAAGTAACCCTTTTTTGTAACATGAAGGAATATCGTAAACATAAACTTTAAAAACTTAATGTATGATTAAATTACAATAATCATATATACCTATTATGATAATTTATTTTTCATCGTTTAATAAGAAGGAATCGTAGAATAGTTTTATTGTAAGTACTTCGTATAGGATAAGATACTACGAGTGGCTACTTTTAATTTTTTTTTTTTTCGCCTAGGTTTTATCTACGTTTGTAAACACCAAAATTAAATTTCTTCTCCCAGTATTCCCGAAGTCTAATCTTGACTAGTACTTCTCGCTATCACTTTTTCATCGTTGTAACTTTTTAAATATTTGTCGAAATGATATAGTGTAAGAGGCAAAGTTTATCGTCTTTAAATGTCAAAAGCGATGATAAAAAATAGTTTGTTAATACATAATGTGCATTTTGATACTTTATTTTAGATTCACTATTTTAGCGATAATGGCTTGCATATTTAAATAGATTTATGGTGTCACAGACTTTCTTGTAGAACTATTTAAGAGGTACATTTTCACTGTACATTAAATTAGTGTAACTTTTGTTTTTGAAGTGCAGGCCAAAATGGCTCACAGGTGGAAGATTTTTTTCCGTCTTACGTGACAATTATTGTTATATTTTGGCCAATTCACTCAATGACTACATAAATTATTATGTGTATGTTATTATCATGTATGAGCTATATTATTGTAAAGTTTCATTAAAATCCATTCAGTATTTTTTAGGTGAAAGAGTAACAAACGTATGATTGAAAATAAAAGCGTAAGTGGTTAATATACAACTTTAAATCGTTGTAGATCGTAAACAGTCACATAAAATAAAAAATGGTGTAAGGAACCTAATCATGATTATTTCGATTATCTAGACAATGATACCCCACTCGATATATTTCGTCAACTTATTTTTTTTTTACTTCATCACAATATGGCGCCTAATTGTCCCCATATTGAATTTTGAGTACTATCATATCTTTAGTAGCACTCCCATGATTAAAACGAATCGATTGATATATAAATCATCAAAATCGGTCCACGCGTTTGGTCTCTAGTGTGCCACAAAGGAACACGCATACATATATAGACTGTTGAACACTATAGCCTGTCTGCGCGTCGCGCTTCGCGCTCTTGCATTGCGCAGTCGGGTAACTATACCTGTCTGCGCGTCGCGCTCCGCGCTCTTGCATTGCGCAGTCGGGTAAAAAGCACTTCCAATGAGGTTCGATTGCAATTAAAAAACAACCGTAAAAGATACGCACGGTGTCATATATCGGAGGGTGCGCTAAAATTTTACCGCACGCTCTGTGCGTAATTTTGAACTTTGGAGCAATGTGTACAATCGCCGTAAATGCATTTATTTAGCAAATGTGTTGAAAAAAACTATTTTGGTTTTTAATATCGTTTGTGACCAGATCCAGAAACTTTCAGAATCCTCCAATTATATTAAACCAGTCTTAAAGACATCGGAGGCAGTGGCGGCGCTAGACCTAATGTGGACGTCGGCGACATCAAGTTCACGAGGCCTATTTTAATTCGCAATAAAAAACCGTTAAATTAAGTGAACCAAATTATAAAATAACGTATGTCTAAACGAGTTTTCTTGTTGATAATCAAATGATGACAAAAAATAATTACAAAAATAGAAATTTAATTACAAAAATAGTGTAGCCAGACAGACGATTCTGAATACCCGTAAAGTATTACTCGCTTCCATCATGCACGTGTTCGAAAATAATAAAAGTCATTATCATCTGCTTAGCTTTTTCCCCGAATTGTTCGGGGTCGGCTACCTAAGCCAGGCCAGGAGAAACGAAAATAAATAGGTAACTTGTAAAAATTTTTAGCGAGGCCCCCTGAGGCGCGAGGCCGTCGGCGGTGGCCGACGTCGCCGACGCCTAGCGCCGCCACTGATCGGAGGTTGCAATAAATCACACTTTACTGGTGTTTTGGTCATAGAGGTATAAGAATAGAGTAGGGGAGATATTATTATGTAATATGTACTCTACTACAAGTGGAAGTGTCCGTCTAGTAGAAAGAGAAAGAAGATGAGGGACGGCTAGCTATCTCTCTCGTTTTTTATCTCATCATCTTATTTTTATCATAACTTGCTCAATTTTGATGCCATTAACTTTTTACAGTGCTCATGAAAGGAATGAAAGGTATTTCTGAGGACTTAAAAAAGGTTTAGGAAGTATTTGTCATAAAATGCATAGGTTTCCCGTTATTTCGGTTTGAATACTTAGATTTAGGTACTCGCCGAAAAAAATATACATAGAATTACCTATAGCTCACTTTGACTTAATATTAGAAGGTTTTTCAAAGTAGGAGTTTGTTTGCTTTTTTATTAGCTTCAATTTTAATAATAATACATTTTTCGTAAAAACTCATAGTTTTTGAGTTATTTATGAAAAATCGCTTTAAAACATGTATTTTTATCACGAAAAATCACAATCTTTGATCTTTAATAACTCAGAAAGTATTGATTTAATCCAGAAACCTTACTTTGCTTAGAATTTGTTTCTCTATCGATTTTAGGATTTATTTTTATTAAAATAATTTTCACCCCCGGGAAGGGGTGGCATCTACCCCCAGTACAAAAGCGCAAACAAGTAATAAGTGAAAAGTGACATAATGCCACTATGTCACTATTGTTTCTTATGGTATCCCCCGCCTACTCGCCAATTTTCATGAAAATCAATGGAGGATCAACGAAAACCTTTATTGACTGGACTACTTGCCTACATAGAAGATCACACCTTCAATCACTAATGCATTTGTTTTGCATATTGTAATTTCTACGTCTTCCGCTTTCCAACTCTTGCTATAGTTATTTATTTTATTTATTTTTAAACTTTATTGACCAAAATATAAATATATAACATTGGTGCAAAAGGCGGCTAATGCTAAAAGCATTCTCTCCCAGTTAACCTTTGGGAAAAATGAAAAACACGAACGGCGGTATAAAGCTAAATACGAATGTATATACAAATTAACATAGATACATATATAAATACATACTATAAAAATAATATAATACATACAAACAAAACACACTAATATTTAAATATATACAGTATACACATATATATATATATATATATATATATGTGTATATACATATATGCACAAGATGATGATTAATAGATAATAAAAATAATAATAATAATAGAGATAGATTAATGATGGTTAATAGTTATACCTAAGTGTTTTAGTTTAATAGTTTAGTTAAAATACAAATCATTTATTATTCGGACAACATAGATCATAATGACCAGCTGACCAGCGCGTGTCGGCATTTGTCGGCGCTTATCGGCGCTGGTCCATAGAAAAAGGATCAGCGCCTATAAGCGCCGATAAGCGCTGATCGGCTTTCGGCTTTCTTTCTGTATACGGCCTAAAGGATACGCACGGCGCATTTTATGGGAGCGTGCGGTTAAACGTTTTACTACACGCTTCGTTATATGTAGGGTTACCAGATGATAAAATCAAAAGTCCGGAGAAAAGGCTTGATTTCCATTGAAAAATCCTGAGATTTTTTACAGTTTGAGATTTTCTCTCAAAAGTACTTAAAAATTTAAAAAAAGTCGTAATATTATCGTTTATACTCTGCTTACACTTTAAATCAATATAATTTGAAGAGCTTAACATGTGGGGCATTATATGAATCCATAATTAAAGAAAAACCTTACTTAAAAATGTATCTTCACATATTAAGTATGATAAAACTGATTAAGTACTTACTTGGATAATAAAGTACTGATTTTAATTGTGCAATTATTACCAATAGAAGATTATTTTTAGTTTAACTTTTTATAGTAAGCTGTATTTTATTGGAAATACAAAAAATCCTAAGATTTCATGAGATTTGCAAAATCCAGCCGTAATCCTGAGAAGAGTCCAAAAATCCTGATATCTCAGGACAAATCCTGAGATATGGTAACCCTAGTTATATGGCCTGTAATTTTGAACTTTCGAACAATGTATACAAGCGCCTCGTAAATGCATTTTATGAGCAAATGACAATAAAATGAATAAAAGATTGAAAATACAATTACCTATGCATTTCGAAAATGGAACTCATGCTAAACTCACTTTTGCATTTACAATAGGTAGGTAGGTATTAAAAACTTAGGATTAGTTTCGTAATTAAATTATTTACTTACATACAAGTATATCATTATAATAATTATCTTATTAGAAATGTACTACCTTTAAGTTAATGTTTTCCTGTGACTTGTTTAGAAATATTATGTCGTATCATTTTATCTAGCATGTCGTCGAGTTATTTGTTTCACTCGCTGTTTAGTCAAATACCTACTTGGTAGGTAGGTAGATAACAATCTATAAATCCAGTTGACCTTGTGTGATCCGTGATGTGAACATCCAACCTATTCATAATATTATTAATAGTATGCTGTAATCATTTTATCGTAACGAACGTCTTTGTTTAGTCATCTTTTAATTATTACTTATTTAATTTTTTGATCATAGTGAAACTGCGTTTCGTTCACAATTTTGACAGTCAGCTGTTTTTCTGAACAGTACCTACCACGGCGCGCGGCGCAGTGTACCTACTATAGTTATTTATTATTTTGATGTTTACATTTCTAAAGGGCCGGGCACTATAATTAAAACTGTGTTGTGAAGATATTAAACTAGGTATTTTCAATTCTTATGAAAATGGCTGTGAAGTCATTAGGACGTGTATTTAAATTGAATACAACAGTTTTAAAAACCAATTATTTCAATCTTCAAAAGGTATGTGGACTCAGTAATGATATCTTGTACTTAATTACTTAGGTACTTGTAAAACGACAAAAGTTTTTTTTAACCAAAAACGTAACCTTCTACGTAAAAAACCTACGTCACTTGTTTACATTATAATGTATTTATTTTGTAGGTAATTTCTTGTGCTAGTTACAGTACCGTTACTAAAAACAACAAAATATACGAAGATGTTAATGATGCTGTTGGTGATATAAAGGATGGATCAAAACTTTTAGTAGGTGGTTTTGGATTATGCGGTATACCAGAAAATTTGATAAAAGCCCTAAAAAACACTGGTGTCAGTGGTCTGACTGTTGTTTCCAACAATGCAGGTTTGTATCAATTGTGCAAAAAAAAGTAAACTTGTTATAAGCTACTAATTAATCTATAGCCGAGTAATAACCAGTTTATTAAATTACTTTATTATGTCACACAAGTTTAAGTATGTATGTAGATAGATATGATAATATTCATTTGAAACTAGTTATGGAAGGTAAGATTTCATTTGAGTGAATTCAGCAGCTAGACTTTATTTTTTAATAATAAGTCAACTCAAACACTACATTTAAAGCATTTTATTGCAGACCACAGAAAAGATAACATATTTAGCATACGAAACTATTTATTTTAAGTGTTACAATGGCCAAGATTTATTGCTAAAAGCCATTTCTTCTGCCTCTGGCAGAACAACCTTTCTTTGTTATATTTTTTTTTCGATTTTGTTCATGTTCCTATTGTTTTTAATGTTATTATTATTAATTTTGTACTCCTTCTTAATCGCATTATTGTCTATTTACAGGTATTGATAATTTTGGTTTAGGAATGTTATTAAAAACTAAACAAATCAAGCGCATGATTAGTTCTTATGTTGGAGAAAATGCTGAATTTGAAAGTCAGTTTTTTAGTGGTGAATTGGAGGTGAGCTAGGCAAATAATTTCATAATTGTGTTAACAATTATGATGGATGTTTTTACACAATATAGTTTAAAATAAAAGAATGTTGAATTTTAGGTAGAATTGACTCCTCAAGGAACATTGGCAGAAAGAATCCGTGCTGGAGGAGCTGGGATACCTGCCTTTTTTACTCCAACTGGTTATGGTACTCTCATCCATGAAGGAGGAGCTCCTATTAAATATTCTAAAGATGGAAAGGTCAGTTATTTACTTTTCAACATTCTAATTTTAGCTTAAGAAACTTATTTGGAAAGTACTTTTTGGAGTTTATTCCTTAAGAATCGATTTGCATATATAAGGGGCCCGGTATGAGAAAAATGTGAGGAGTAAAATCTATCGATGAATGACCTCGTTACTTTTTTGGTGCACATCCTATGTCGCGCAACTTTGACAAACAAAGATGACGGATTGACATTAATAAAATTTTTAAAATCTGAACTGAATTTAGATATTGTTTCTGATAGAGCAATGGGGACAACGAGGTATGGTACGACCATTGATGCAGTATTTTCAAGATTCGTGAACCACGTATCTACGAACGTCGATATGTCTTATTTTAGTTACCATAAACTACTTGTCACTGTAATTAATAATGCAGTCAGTGTTGATTTAATTAATATTTAAAAAAATGATAATAGTCTGATAATAATAATTACATAATTTATCAACATTCCTAATGATATATTTATGCACATCTGAAATTGACTATTGTAAAAAGTTTAATGTAAAATATTTCGTCGATTAGTTATAATAAATGTATATGAAATGAATAAATATATATTTATATATGTATATTATTTTCATTAATTTATTAATTTACCCTTTCCTACAGTATCAATCTTTTTTAAGTTAAATAAACACTTTTTGCGTCTGGTTAGACTATCGAACTTAAGGAGTAAACTCCAGTCGTGTGTCGGAGCTGACACACACAATTTTTTAATTTCAGATTGAATTGTCAAGTGCTCCACGTATTGTTAAGGAATTCAATGGTAAAAATTATGTGATGGAGGAAGCAATCACTGGTGATTATGCCCTTGTCAAAGCATGGAAAGCGGATAAGTATGGTAATTTAATATTCAGAAAGTCTGCACGCAACTTTAACCCTGCTATGTGTAAAGCTGCCCGAATTACAATAGCAGAGGTAGAAGAAATTGTTGAAGAAATTGAACCTGACCAGGTGCATATGCCATCAATATTTGTGCACAGAGTCATCAAAGGACAGTTTGAGAAAAGGATAGAAAAAAGAACAATAAGAAAGAGTGAGGAATCGAATACAAAGAAAACATCAGATTCAACACGGGAAAGAATCATTAGACGTGCTGCACTGGAATTTAAGGATGGAATGAATGCTAATCTTGGAATAGGTATGATGCAGAAATAATGTCCGCCTTTCACTGAGAAAAAGAAAAGAGCGCACAATCTTAGGCAAAATGAAAATATTAGTATGTATACACATAACTAGGAAACTCTGTTTTAAATCGTTGTTGCAAGGAACAATGTTTCTTTATTCATAACTTATATTGGATATACTGTACTTCCAGGGCCCAAAAGTAAAAACTTCACAGTTTTGTTGGTTGTGATTTCGCATTTTTGTTGTTAAAAAGGTTTCTGTTAACCACATTATTAAAAAAAATGTCACATTTATGCACTGGTAGTTTTTTAGAAAAAAATATTGAAAATTTTTACTTTTCTTATCAAGTGGTGATACTTCACACTGGTTAGGTTAGTGTTGTGACCATAACGCGCGAGCCGAGCGTGCAAAGCGAGCGTGCCGCGGCAGCGGCCGGCGAAGCGCCAGAAAAAAAAATCTGTTAAAAAGACCTTTTCTACAAAAAAAAATAAGTATCACCTTTTGGGCCCTGGAAGTACAGTTTTACCCTTATATTAATACTTAAAACAAGATTAAAACACTTGTGTTCGCTCCACTCATAATAGAAAGCCGGTATTGATGTTGAACTTGCAAGTCGAGAATAAAATTGCTTAAAGAATGTGTTGATTTAAATTGTTTTTTCCAGGTATGCCAATGTTGGCTAGTAATTATATTCCAAAAAATGTAAAGGTATTTTTGCAGTCCGAAAATGGTATACTTGGACTGGGTCCATTCCCCACTGAAGACCAAGTTGATCCTGATTTAATAAATGCAGGAAAAGAGACAGTCACCATAGTTCCAGGTAGGTAATATTATATATTATCACTACATAATGCAACACTTCATAACATAACTGATATTTATACCTTATCTACATATTATAAAATAAGCCCCCCGCCGCGTTTATCTATGTATACTAGCTGACCCAGCGAACTTCGTACCGCCCTAAAAAAATAGGGGTTGTCCAGCGGACAAAATTGTGAATCTAAACCATTCTCAGATCCCCTTGAACACACACAAAAAATTTCATCAAAATCGGTCCAGTCGTTTAAGAGAAGTTCAGTGACATACACACTCACAGAAGAATTATATATATAAAGATTCGCAATGAACACAAAATGTCATGAACGGATTTTTTAAATATTTTTCATGGAAGTTTTTTTTATATTTCTTACATACCCAAGAACAAACGATAGTCCAAGATCAATGCAAATCGAGGGCGACTCCTAGTCTAATAGGTATTCTAATCTCAATTAGTTTGTTGGTAGTTGGTAACAAAATACATAATTTCTTTTCTGTAGCCAATTTTTCACGCAGTATCACCTTTTTTATTTTGCGGTAACACCACAGAAAGAGCCATGGCTTTACCGATCTTTTGATTTCTCAATAATACTGGTACCATTCTCAACGCTCAAATGTGTTTAGCTCAACATGAACCTGAATTGAATAGTAGACGTGTATAGAGTACAGAATACAGAAAGAGGTTAGAAGGGTGATCAAAGATCGTTTGTAGGGGAAACGATGTCGCCGGCTCGCCCCCACTACTTTTCTACATAAAAGCCAATCAAATGACGCGGCATCAAACAGTGGAATCAATCAGAGCTCACACCAGAGTGCAACGACGCAATCGGAACCAAGTTTTGGTTAAGATGAGCATTTGCTGCATATAAATAACTGTGGCGCGCCTGCCCCGTCTACACGACCCGTCCAACCTCTTTCTGTGTTCTGTGGTGTACAGACAACTCCGATATTGCTGTGACCGTCCTGCGCCCTAGATTGACTCACAGCCGCCGCGTTTGTGAGAACGCCCAAAAACTTCAAGAGAAAAGACACAGCCCACTGTGTGTGGTCTGCGGGTGGTCACGGATTCGCGACACGCACGTGCGCAAACCTTGGCGCGCCGGGCCACTTACGATTAGTAAATTAAATCAATATAATGCCAGTAACGAATGCCTGTATATGGTTTCTGCCGCCTTTCCCAGCTCTTATAGCCACCCCTCAGCTTGCTGCCTCGGCCCTCGCCGGTCTGCGGGTGCCGCAAATAATCGCGCACTCAGCGGGCCTAAATCACGTCATTAATTTTCATTGCGAATTCTTTGTCAGCGGTCCCCGTTGAAAATCGTTCCGTGGTTCTTAGGCAAAGTCTGTCATACGCGCACTCACCTTTTTTTTTATTACGCAGGTAAAAAATCTTTTTGCAGACGACGGCGCCTCTAAGGGGCACACCGTCAAACGGACCTCACACCTGGCTCCCGAAAGTCTTACGAACCCCCCCACCTGGGACCCCGCAACTCTTACGGGAGCTTTACGGTATAATATCCGCTAAAAAAGTCCTGCGAATACCTTCACTACTGCCTGATGCGGTGCCGCGGGATCCCCACTGGTGGGACTTCTCCGCGTCCCCGCACCTAGCAGCTTCCCGGCCTCGCCGGGGCTCCACGGCAGGGGTCTCCCGCGGTATTTCGGGGACCCCGCAGACGTGCGCAGGTAGGCCCGCGCGTGGGCGCTGGGTACGCGGCCTAGTGCCCACCATACCGCCCCTCATCCGCTGCGGAGGGGACTCCAGGGCGTATCCATCCAAGAACCCTCCGCCGCCCCCCTTTGTAGGACAGAACTACAAGTGGGGGGGCCGCCGTTCCTGGGAGGGGGGAACGGAAGGAGAAGCGTTGTTCCTCCCGTCCCTCTCCCCCCTCCCGGTCGCCCGCGTCTTCTCCTAGGAGAAGACGGGAGAGAGGCGGGCGACAGCATTCGTAGGGGGGTCCGAGCAGCCGAGGCTACTCGGACATCCCCCCCTCTGAGGGCGTCCGTCCGGGCGCCGCCTCACAGACCATTCTTTCGGGAGGTTTGCCCTTTGTAACCGGCGGGTCACACCTCCCGCTCCCCATTATATGGTCTGCCGGCCGACCATTCGCCGCGCACACCCCTCATCTGGTGGGTGCAGCACACGTCGCCGCCTTGTGCCCCGCTGCCCTGCACCGGAAGCACAGGGTGCTTCGGTCCTCTTTGGCCGGGCAACGCGCTGCCGCGTGCCCCCTCTCCATGCACTTGAAGCAGTGCGCGCGCCGGCTTAGGACCGTCACCTTAGCGAGACTTCATCCCACCTTTATTTTTCCCCCCTCTGCTACCTTCCGCGTGGCCCCTGTGGGACACCGGATGAGCATCCCCCTCATTCCTCCCGGTCCTGGGTGAGCACCCCCCGCAGAGATTTTGTGCTCCGAGCAACCTCCCTCCCTGGCTATCGTCTTCTTCAGCTCTTCAAGTGTCACCGACTCATCGAGCCCGGTTATCCTTAGGTCGGCGCACTTTTCTGGTCTGCCTATCTCCGCGTACTCACCAACCGCCTCCTCCATTCGCTTGGCGAGGGCATCCGCCTTTCTCCTATTACCAGGCACCGATATGAGTAGGAGCCTGGATCCCGTCTGGCTCGTCTTTATAGTCAAGCCGTCGTCGATGCCCACGGACGGCAATTCAATAGCCGTCCGTGCCATCTCCACGATGTTCGTGAAGGTGAAACCCAGCTCCACCACCTTGGGCTTCACCCTCAGTTCCACTGCGGCAGTGCTCGGCACCTTGATTTGTGGCACGCTCTTCTTCTTCGCCGGGACACGCTTACTCTGCGCGATGGTCCCCTCCTTCCGCTCAGGGTTGACTGCAGGCATCGTACTCGTGCCCTTGCCCTTCTTCTTTGCGACCACCACACTCCATGGCTCCGTCGCTTTGGGAACGCCTCCGACGCGTTCCCCACCTTGCGATCCGCCGCCAGCGGCGGTCTGATGACCTTCGGTGGTGGCAGCCTTTCCTCCAGAGAGGCCAGCCGAGTGCTGACCATCTCCCCTATGCTTAGCATAAGGGAGCGCTTCAGCTCCTCGACGGCCTCTGACGTCAACAGTTGGGTGGCCGATTGGTGCCCGCCTTTCTCCACCGTCATTCTCAGGGAGTCAAGGTCCTTCCTCATGGCCTGTATATCTTCCCTTAGGCCCTCGTTCTCCTTCCGAAGTCGGGCGTTCTCTTCTGCCGCATCTTGAAGACGCTCCGCCGCTTCAGCCTTTACAAGGACCCACTCCACCAATTCCGATACCTCGTCCATTTTTCCATCCATCAACTGGAGCGCCTCCAGATCGGCGCCCCCCTCCTCAGCCTTTCTCGATATGAGCAACAGGCGCCTGTCGATTTTCCCCTTGATTTGTCTCAACGAGGCGCCCTGGGCGAGGCACCCCGCTCGCACCCCCCCGGAACCGAGGGGGTTTGACTCTCAGCCTTCCCCTTCCGTCTCTTGCTCATCTTAGGTGGCAACGGTCTGAGGCCCAGACCACCTTCGTCATCACCTCCGCCTCTAAGGCGAAGGACACCTGCATCCTCAACGTCTCCCTTGCACGCCTCGGTAACAAATTTACCACTGCGGGACCCGGTAGTCCCGCAGCGCCAGTGGTCAGCCGGAACGCATAAGCCGCTAGTAACAAATTTCCCACTCTGAGGCCCAGCTACCCCAGAGCGCCCGGTGTCAGCGGGAGAGCATGACAAAATATTCACATAGGACGACATATTCATACGAGTTTTCCCTCTTCCGGGCGAGGGAACCCTACCTGGCCTCATCAAAATGATTTTTGAAAAGGTTTTCTCCTTTTGGCTCCCACCCCGAGAGGTGGCATGACATAATAAAATTATAGTTGCCTAATGGAACCAAAGCCTTTAGGCCCAAACAAAAGACACTTCAATGACGTCATGCACGAAATGAAAACATAAGGACCGTAATACCACAGTTTAGCGTTTACTTTTCTTTACTACCAAGATATTTTTGATAACTTTGAGTGCTTAGATACCATTGAACAGTTATTCGCGAATATATAATTGATTATCTTAACACATAATATAATTATGAATTATGTAGTTTCGATAATATTGACCACTCTATCCGGTTACAACAATAAGATTATCTAACAGCACATATCAAATTGAGTTTATGTATATTCGTTAATTTTGATCAGTCTTCTCACTTCGATTTTTATAGAGTCGATTGTCCAGTCAAAATTTACAGTGAAGCTGACAATGATTTCGCCACCGGCGGCGGCGACTAGGAATTTTGCCGAAAGCAAATGGGAATAAAAATGGTGGCAATCCCCACAGGGGCGTTTGTTAATGATGGGCTGCATGCCCCTCGACTATAGAGGTGGTCAAATTGATCTCATTGCGTTGTATTTTATTTATGCTTTCAGGAGCATCATTCTTCTCGTCTGACGACAGTTTTGCTATGATTCGTGGAGGTCATATAGATCTTACTATACTTGGTGGCATGCAGGTTTCGAGATATGGAGATCTAGCAAACTGGATGATTCCTGTAATTGAAACTTTTTATATTCAATTTTATGATATTATTAAATATCCAATCCAAGAATATTAATATATTTGTTTCTTAGGTTTTCACGCACATTACTCATTAAATAAAACTAGTTTTTACGGGTTAATGCACGAAACTTTATTTATTTATTGACGTTTCGTAGCCTTTACAGGCTACGTCGTCAGAATTAAACTTTTATTTAATTTGTCGAGCTACCTTCGAATAATAATTAACAATAAATAAATAAAGTTTCGTGCATTAACCCGTAAAAACTAGTTTTATTTAAGAATATTAATATTTTATTTGTAACAGATTGAGTTCTTGGCGTGTAAAATTAATAAGTAAATATGTTAATAACCATTTCAGAGAAAAATGGTTAAAGGAATGGGAGGTGCTATGGACTTAGTTTCAGCACCACGAACAAAAGTTGTGGTAACTATGGAACATACGGCCAAGAATGGAGCTCACAAGATACTACCAGAGTGCTCGTTGCCACTCACGGGCAAAAACTGCGTTGATATGATTATTACTGAAAAGGTATGTAGAATTCAGGATTCTCTTCTTTTTATTTTATTTTATAATAACTTAAAATCTAGTAAGTAATGAAATTTTCCTTCCTTTCCAACCGGGATTCGATAAAAAATATGTAATATTTTTCTAGTGTGTCTTCGAAGTCGATAAAGAAAGTGGTCTTACACTGACGGAAATAGCTGATGGCTTAACGGTTGAAGACATTATCGTTAGCACCGGCTGTGAATTCAACGTTTCCCCTAAACTTAAGAAAATAGGAGACATCACCGAGACTGCATAGATTCCTGAATCCCCAATAATTGTTAATTTAATAACTTGAAAATATTTTGGTAATCGGTAAAACCGAGATACGTTAAAGTTATAATAAAAAATTTTTTAGATTTTCGGTTGTTCGTATTTAAACAGAATTATATTTATTAAGTTTAGGTGCTAAGTCAAACTATTTTAAGTCAGTTCGTAAAGGGAATAAAGGTAGTTTTTTTTATCTTTTTGCCACTATTTTATATAAGACTATTATATTATATATAAGAGTTAAATATATTTTATCTATGAGTTAGTCTAATTAATAAGTCTATAGATTTGTCTATATTTTTGTTATTTTAAATATGATTAAATTGTTATTATATAAGTAATATTTTTTCTTTCAATTAAAAATAATAAAACATTTCAAAATGTGGGCGGGATGTTGCCATTTCTAAATGTGACCCCCTGCATCTATTACTGTATCCGCGCTTGGGGAGGAGCATCTAAATTAATGTTAATTATGTTAACCGTAACGCTTATAGACATTTACACACTCCACTTCTGACGTCAAAATCATTCTATGGCAACCTTCTACGTCGTCCGCTTTTGAACATAGGGTCTTCTCCATATCTTTCCATTTCTGTCTCTCCCTAGTAGCCACATGCATCCAATAGGCTAGTTGACACTTTTTGGAAATATGTTTTAAATGGTTAATAATTGTTCAATTAGACCGAAAAAAAAATTATTTTAATTTTTTTTAACCTAGAAAGCTACAAATCTTTAATTTTAAAATAGATTTTTCATGGACATACAAAAACGCTATCGGCCATTTTAGTCTATAGATTATCTATGGTATGACGGGAACAATAGTAAACAAACACTCGCAAGCACGTAGGATATTACTATCTGAATTTACATTACAAAACCACGATTTCTAATAAATTTCATGATAAATATAGTAATTGTCATGATTGTATTAAACGAGAATAAAGAAACACATCGTTAAAAACTAGAAATGTTGTGGTTTCAATTTTTAAGGTTATGAATGTACCTGCTAAGTCAAAGAGTTTTGTCGTTTCTGCTTTCACAAATCCGGCATCCAGCATTAATTTAGTGAAGAAAACCAATAAACGGACACTTTTCTTCAAGATATAAGAGTTTTTAGATATATTTTAGTCGGACGAAAGAAACCACAGTAACATGACAATGACGTTTAGTTGTTTTGCTATTATGTTGACGTCACAATCATGGTGGACAGCGTTTATAGTGTTTAATAAGCATAGACTAAAAAACTATTTTTCAAATTAAATTACTACAGCCGTCTTCTAATTTTATGAAGTGAAATCGATGTATTTAGGTTCCTCATACCAAAAATTATAAGAAATAAACATTTGTATAGTGCAATTTGACATGAGTCAACTAGCCTATTGCGGTCAGCGTGATGTCTTGTGTCATCCAGTCTATCCAACGCACGTAGTGACGTGTGTTTGACCAAGCTCACACTCCAACACTTTTCTTCTCCATCGATCTCGATACATCCTCGATCATCCATTTTTCGATTAAAACTTTAAAGTCTCTGTGAAATGTTTGAGCAAAGTTTTTGCTTAGCTTCAAATGCCTGTGCTGTTCGTCTTATTTAGCACCTATCTTAAATAGAGAAAGAACAGTTAAGAATTTAGTCTCGGTCGGCCTTACTTATGTCTCACTAAAGGCAAGAGTCATGGACGAAGAATCTCGAAGTGGACTACCATTATTCTTTGATAATCTCAAAGAGTATCTAACGGGATGTCATATAATGTCAATCAGACTACTTATAAATTAGTATTTTATATTTGCCTTTATTTCTCAGAAAAATACTAAAGTTCATTTAAGGTTACAATAATGAGTTTTTCTGGACCGAATTCCCCGGTTGTTGTATGGGCGGCATGCTTCCTATGGCTTATGTCCTTGACCGCAATAGGCTGGTCTCTGCTTCTATTTTTCTGTGTGTACCTACCTATCTATCGTAGTTTTATACAACGCAATACATGTGCAATCTTAATGCAATCAATAATTCAAGAATGTAGGTTTGTCGTCACAGGTTTTAATTATTTATATGCATATATACAGCAATCCGAATAAACCACGCAAAGAAAACGGCTCATTGTACTAAAGCAGCCAATGTGTGCGTATGTACCAACGAACATATCTACCATATGTAGGTAGTTGATATGTTTTGCACCGCTGCGCTGCCGTGCAGTTAATACGGTATCTATAGGGTGTATATAATCAAAGGTCTCAGGCTTGAACTGGTTGATGTCGTGATTTTTTATCTTCATTTTCTTTCTTCGATATTATGGATTTATTTGCTATGAGAAAAATTGTTACCTTGTTTTCTATATTAAACAAACGTAACAAAACAGTTAGAGTTAAGATTAGTCGTTAAAGTTAGTTCAGGCCACTACACATTACGTGAATTACCTACAACAACGCTGTCAATATCTAATATGATAAGATCAACGTGGTCTTACATTATTAAAAACACCTATTTTCAGGTTTTGGTGACTTGCTGCTACTGACTGGAACTGATTTGATTAACGCATTTCTTTTGCTCTCAGCAATAGTAATGTTACCAACAAATGTCAGTATGTTGTGTTCAATTGCAAATGGAAGGCGAATCGAGTAAATATTATATTATTTAATAATAATTAAGTTACTAAATAAAATTGCAGTTCATAGATTTAGGTACATTTAAACTACACTTCTTTCAGCCATAGAGCAAAAGTGGTTTGCTGCCCGCTATGGTTGAGCATTTTCTGGATTATTCTCATTAACACGATAGCAGCTATCGTCTGTTTTCTGATAATCCTCTCATGTCGCGAACTTATTATTCAACAATTGTACAGAAGTATGAAGAATTATCGAAGTATTCCGAAGTACAAGCGTTTCTGCGATAATATTCAGTGGTCGTTGAAATGTTGTGGGGTAATGTAACTTGATTGCGTAATTTTCGGACAGTTAGGCTTGTCTTGGGAATTCAACCTTATTAAAGAAGCAACGAGCTCGATGCCGTAGTGGCTAGCGCTTTTAGTCTGCGATCGTGGAAGTCAAGCCGCTTTGGCAATTACCTTCCATTGGATGGGCGACCGAAGTAAAATTTATTATCTCGTGTTCCTCTGTGATCCGAAAGGCTCGTTAAAGCGTTGGTGGCGTTGCAACCACAGTCGCTAGTACCTATGGCTAACAGCCACTAATCCGCACTCCAGCCACGTGGTGGGCTTGACCCATTCAGCCTATTCCGTCCATACGAAAGGCCTGTGCCCTAGTCCCCACATAGATTAAATAAATAAAAATAAATAAATAAATATTTTAAACACTCACACCATTAGCCTAGCCCAAAGTAAGCACTGTAAAGCCCGTGTTATGGGATACTAGGGTAACGGATAGAATACATAATACAGTACATACGTAAGTATATTTACATTGATATACATATGAAACATCCATGACTGAAGTGTACAAATGCTCATATTCATCACACAAACATCCATCCCCCACCGGGATTCGAACCCGGGACCTCTCGAGTCGGCGACACCATGAAACCCGGCGTACAAACCACTCGGCCACGGAGGTCGTCGTATCGGGGCACTAATATAGATTGCTATTAGTGCCCCTGCAGTGGGGGCATTATTAAGCTGATGATGATTTTAGAAATAAAATCGATTTTTTGATTTCTAGGAAGGGGATGGGATAAAGTTAGGCAACGTGTAAGTTATACGTGGTATCTTAAGCATGTAGGTTGTAATATGTATCTTATCTTCATTTCTGAGGGTAATTGTCGTTTACTTACCTACATTTCAGCTTAACTCTTACAAAGATTGGTTTAATCAAGATTGGTATGATAAAATTCGTGATTACGAATGGGATCCTTTAGAATCGACGAGCAAAGCTATCAAAAAACGCTTCGTTTCGGACAGTGTTCCTTTAAGGTACAATATAGATATTTAATGTATACGTATGTATTCTAGATTGGACCTGGAGCAGCTAAGAGTACCCTACACGGTAGTAATAGCAATTAATGCTATTTTTCATTAATTTCATTAGCATGCTAATTTTCCTGTCTTAGCATGCTATGTGCTATTTGCTAAATAATAGCTGTGATTTGTGAAATGCTAATTTTTCTTCATTACGACAGCAAAACACATTACAATAAATTTTTATGATGTACCTATTATTTTTCGATCCACACCAAAATATCAATTATACGACCGATGTCAACGTAACTAAATTATTAACTTGACTGAACTTATAACCTAGGTTATACCTACGCAACACGTGCGAAACATTAATTAGGTAGGTAATTAAAACAACTATAGAATAATGGACCGTAAACATCGGCATTTCATTTTATTTTTTAAGGAATTGCATTGGCGCGAATGCTTCTTCTCTTCTCATTCATTCCTATTCATTCGTGCACTGTCGGGTCACGTCGAGTCATATTATTTCGCATCGAATGACATTAGCATTAGCTGATTATCTTAGCACGACAGTCAATTAGCGCCGCGGTGCGAAACAGCATGGTCAGCATTTTCCTAAAAGGTAGGTAATTTGTAATTCATGCATTTGTGACTCGGTAAGACAAGATTTCGTAACCTTTTAAGGTTCCGTATTACAAACGGAAAAAAACAGAATCCATATTATTCATTTAAAATAACTCTTGCCTCCTTTTTATGATAACTGATTTTTTTAGTATACGGCTTGACCGTTTTTATGAAATTTTATATGCATATTTTGTGAGAATGAGAATCGGCTACTATATATTTTTCATACCCTTAAATGATAAGGGTAGTCCACCTTTAACATAGTGTTCTCATATGGTTTAGGAGGAATGATATCCCAGGTAATTGATTGAACACTAAGTTACACACCCCTAACATTTTTTTTGGAAAACTTATTTTATATAATGTGGCATTAAAAAGTACTTAAACCCCTAAATTTTCATCCTGCTACCATCAGCCCCTATTTTTATAGCGGTACGAAGTTCGCTTTGTCAGCTATAATTATAATAATAAGCTATTATAGTTAATCTATAGAATACTAGCTGACTCGGCGAACTTCGTACCCCCCAAAAGTAATAATTTGCAATAAAATAATATTGCGACTATAAATTGAGATGTAAGCTTAGATTAAAACAAAAAGTGTAGATACGGTACGCTCATAATTATTGCATCAAACAAAATCTGATCCCACGGCAGCGCGAACGGGACGGCGAGATCCGCGTCACTGCATTACCGACCCGAACGAAACAGCACGTTAAGTTTCAACGGCAGCGCGAACGAGACGGCGAGATCCGCGTCACTGCACTACCGACCAATTACGCGACCAGTACTCGACGTCACTACCGAATAAGATTCAAACAAACAGCAATTTTTATGAAAAAATATATTTTATAGTACTTACGAATGAAAAGTGATGCCGTCGGTTTTATTTTTAGTTCGTGAGCAATTTGAGTACTTTTTAAAAACACACTTAGGCATTGTTTTATCACATAAACACAAAATATTAGCAATATTCAAGTCAAGTTGTGACTAAAGCGATTAGGGTCGTGGACCACAATTGGTGTGGATCACTTTTGTGAGGCTAGTGCCGTATCTACCCTTTTTGTTTTTATCTAAGGATGTAAGCTATCTTATCTTTCAAGTTGGATTTAATTGCACGCGGTGTGCAAATTTTATTAAAATCGGTTAGGTAGTTTAGGAATCCATCCAGCCCCTCTAGCATGACCACCGAAACGGGATATGATAAAGCGATATATCGACATTAACTGTCAGACTACTGTCAAACTCCACTGAAATCTGACAGCTAATGTCGATATATCGCTTTATCATATCCCGTTTCGGTGGTCATGCTAGAGGGGCAGGACAAACAACATAACGCGTAATTTATATATACATATATGTAAAGTTTTCAGAAAGGACTCAAATCTGCGTGTTCCCCTGTCTGGGCCGATGCACTCACCACTAGCATTTGTGGTAGTTCCTTTAATAAAAATAATCTCAAATATCAAGTTAGCCCTGATTGCACTGATTATTTCAAATGTATATTATTAACCTCGTACTTAATATAAAGGCATTAATTTACATTTTATATGTAAACAATAATTTTCTTTATACTTATCAAGTGTTTTCTTTTATATATATATATTCAAAAAAAAAATTTTGACTGCCCAACATCATGTTTCTGAAGTGCAACCGTTTAAATTTCTGAAATATAGGGAGTTCACAACGAGTAAAACACGTGGTTAAAATCCCGATATCATAATATATATTTGATTACTTAATGTTTTAGCTTGCGAAATTTAAAAAGTAGGGAAGTTGATGGTTTACCCGACAACGCTCAAATCACGTCCTCACCTCATTTTATTCACTAGGTAGGGCCCTGCTCCTTAGAGCGTATACCAATGGAGATGCCATACCGTTCACTCGCCGAACAAAATGTTTCGGAATTTTGGCGCGGACGAGGTACACAAGTATAGCACACCAACGAAAATATGTAAAACTTTCACCAACACGAGGGTGTTGTTGCTTTATAGCATTTTTGTGTGTAACGTAATTTTTGAAGTGTGCGTTTATACGCAACACGCTAATAAATTTTATTTGTTCCTGCGTACACCAACACCAGTTAGGGATGGGATATTAAAAGAATGAACGATATTTGAATGAACAGTTCTTGATGAACGAACGTAATGTTTGTTTATAATGAAATCAAAAAGTTTCATTTATAAATATCTATCTGAAAGCGTGTCCGTGATGCTAGCGTACCCACGATCAATATACGGTTTTTCGTTATGCCATTAAATACTGCATAAATAGTGCCAAATTAGTGTAAAAATCAAAAAAATAGTGCCTCTTTAAATTAAGAAATAAAGACCATTTTTACTGTGTACGCTACCATGACGTCAAGCTAGCGTACCCATGGCCGACCCCAAGAACGGCATATATTTAAGCAACGAAATTGGCACACAAAAATAGTGCCCTGGCTTTACAAAATTTCATAATCAATACTCTTAAAGGACCAAAGATATTGAAGTAAACATTCTTAGCTGGCGTCAACTTGGCGTACCCATAATAGTTCTCATAGAAAATGAACTTTTCTCGTTATCAATTCGATATGTATAAATAGTGTGTCAAATAGTGCCTCCAACAGTAAAAGTATTTTATGTGAATTCGCAGTAAAACAATATAAAAAAAGCAATTAAATTATTTTTTATATATGAAGTACAGTCATGTACGGAAGTGATAATATTTTCGTAGTATAGTAGGTAAGTAAGGTACTTAGTAGGTAGGTAGAAATTCTTAAATGAATTTATGATTGGTGAATTCGAATTGAAATAAAATATCTTTTAAAAAAAGTACCTATTTATTTTAGTAAAAATACATATAAAGATAATCTCTTAGTGTATAAATTAATTTTGTGTGCAACTGTACTACAATACATTTGTTCCTAGAATTTAACATCCTCCTTATGTATTATTGTGATGCGGAGTCACATAAAATACTTTTACTGTTAGAGGCACTATTTGACACACTATTTATACATATAGAATTGATAACGAGAAAAGTTCATTTTCTATGAGAACTATTATGGGTACGCCAGGTTGACGCCAGCTAAGAATGTTTAGTTCAATATCTTTGGTCCTTTAAGAGTATTGATTATGAAATTTTGTAAAGCCAGGGCACTATTTGCGAACTATTTTTGTGTGTCAATTTCGTTGCTTAAATATATGCCGTTCTTGGGGTCGGCCATGGGTACGCTAGCTTGACGTCATGGTAGCGTACACAGTAAAAATGGTCTTTATTTCTTAAATTAAAGAGGCACTATTTTTTTGATTTTTACACTAATTTGGCACTATTTACGCAGTATTTAATGGCATAACGAAAAACCGTATATTGATCGTGGGTACGCTAGCATCACGGACACTCTGAAAGCTTATTTATAGTAATAGTACTTATGATTTTTATGTACAAAATTCAAAGTTCTTTTTAATGCAAGTTATATTGCTGTGCAAATGCTGTGCAATCTTTCTAACTGAGTTTGTGTCCTTTTATCGGATACCTTGCAAACATTTAATTGCTTTTACACCCTCAATAATAGCAAACGCAGTATTTTGTTACAAAACATTGCGTAACAGACCTCAAAATTCCTTGTTTAATATAATGGGGATAGCGAATTAATAGACTTCAGTAAATTGAGGTTATTTGTTTTCCTGATAATGTTTTTCTCGCTGATTAGAGAAGTCAGAAATTTTATCATGTGTGATCAACTAGAAAATACTCAGTGATTCAAGCTTTCGGCAAAGATCAATCCCATTCTTTCAACGAGTTTCAACGAGTGCTTCGCTAGCGTACGCTGAATCCAAAATGATAAAAAAACATAAACCTATGTATTTCAGTAATACGTATTGAGTACGTACGTAAGGAGCTCAATAGCGCAGGTGGTTATCGCGTCCGGCTTGCGATCATGGAGTTAGAGCAATTTTCGTAATGGTCGGTATTTTGATGGGTGACAAAAACTTATTATCACTTGCTCTTGTCGAGGCCTTTGCTGTGCTCCTTCAGTGGGGATATTAATAGGCTAATGATGATGATGTATTGAGCATATTATTTAGAAAAAAAATACAAGAATGACCTCCTCTGTCCCACAATATCAGTCATATATCTCTCTTAAATGCTAGATTTTAGAGCATTTGAAGATATTTAACGCTATGTGTTTGTTCCAACGCTTGGCAAAGTTGCATTTTTTTTAAATATGAAGAATACATTTTATGCAATACCGTTACTATCACCAAAAAAAGTTCGACCTCCTGCATAAACATACAATAATAATATAGTCGATTGTAATAAGAATAAAGATGTATTGATATCGGAATGGCCTATTTTAATAAAACCAATAATAATATTCGTATTATATTCATAGTTTACGAGAGTGCTGATTATGAATATGACAATAATTTTGTGATCCAAGATGGCGAAATCTACTTTTTACTCGACTGCGGAGGGTAACGTTTTTCGAGTGTATGTATGCATGAATGTATCTCCGTTTCTTTGGCACGCCTTACATCCAGAATGACTTGACATGAGAGGTATCATTCGATTTGTCGTCACTGTAAATAAAACTGGGTATATTAAAATAAAAAAAAACTGTCTTTTAAAACCCTTCACTTTGACAGCCCATTTGATTTAAAAACTTGTTTAATGATTCAAATATCGCTGATATTTGGTACCAAAATGAAACAACTTGAAAAAAAATCTTATAACCTTTCCAGCGGGGTATTAAAAGCCAATGGTTTTAAAATAAAATTCAGAAAATATAAATAGAATTATACAAATTATATATGTGTATATATTCATAAACATTTTGAGCTAAAATGTCGAAAATAAATTGTAAATTCAAATAAATTAGGAAACTCATCTGCTTAAAATACAATTTTAAATAAATAACTAAACTAAAAAAAAAAACCGGTAGTCTAGAATTCTGTTTAGTAACAAGGCTATTTCAGCAGTCAATTCCCATCCCAATTGTTAAAGTACCTTTGTCCCTTAATTGACTAGATTCTAGACTACTAACATTGGATTTTCTTTTCTGTTTTTATTTAAATAAACATTTGATCAGACGAAGTTTTTTTTCAAATAAGTTAAATATGAGTATTTATCGAATTTATACTTTTAAGTAGAGCGAATTACGAATAAAACATTTTTCTCGAGATCCGAGATTATTGTTTCAGATTTTGGGACTTGCATAGTGCTAATGACAATATAGTCACTGCAACTTAAACAATCGATTTTATGATTCGCCAGTACGTTGAAGTACTTATATGTTTAAGCCAGACAGCTTCCAAGTAGCTCCAAGTTTCTGGAAATTTTATATCCTCTAGTCGTAATTTATGTCGGCCCAGATGTATAGTATCTAGGTACCACTTTTGTGTATTACGATAAAATACGCTACTAAATTTAAAAGAAACTGTGTTTTAAAAACTCTAAGAAGTAAAAATAATATAAGTTATGGCGAAAACAATTATTTGATTTGTCCAAAAAACCTAAAAAACCTTAAATTCATATTTTCTATGTGTCTGGCTATTTACCTGCATCGATATAAAGTACCTACTTTTTATACATATTATCATATTACAACGTCGAAAGGAACATTTCGGTGTCGAAAATAGCAGCGTTCCTAAACTTAAATTTGACAACAGTGTACATAACTCGTTTACAACTCTATACAGAATGAAAAAGAGGGACTGATGTTAAATTTAGTTTTAAGCTTGGAGAATCATGCAAGAATCGACACCTTTGTTTGGTTAAGTTATAGATCGTGAATGATTGAATGTTAGCTTTTTTTTAATCTGTGTATGTAAATTTTATTTAATCAACTTGCTATTTGTATCCGCAGATACACTTAATTAAATCTGGTTGAACGTTTTCCAGTATTTAAAATATTATTCATTCATTTTACGTCACATCGCTATTAATTTCTACCTATTATTTTTGTCATTCATTAGTCATTTCGCGCCTTTTCTTTTAATTGAATTTTATACCAGAATACTAACTTTTTAAAACTTAAAAAGACTTCTATATGATAGGAAACACCATGTTCCAGCAGGATTGTAGTGTCAGATCGGTTTTTTTCGTGGAAAAACAACATAATTTTCCATTTTAGTGGAAGCTCCGACTCGCTATGCGAAACGATTCAAAATGGTAGCGGTCGCGCGTGAACTAGTTTTATATAACGTATATGGTCCGATGGTCACGTACTTTGCCTGAGGGGTTCGCCCGCCTATGCCATCTCCATTGGTATATGCTCTAAGCCCTGCTCATTTCATCGAGCCCTCGAGCTAGATGAAATGAACGGGCAGGATCTCCACAGGGTCCTCGCCCACAGGGTCCTCAGATACCCTGTGGGCGAGGGAGAAGTGCCTTTTCCCAACATAAAAAAGGTATTCTAAATTAGATATTTTTCGCATTCATCAAAAGTGGGTATACAAAATATTCTCGCGAAGTAGATTTCTTATTGAACTAAAACGTATACGTAACATAGGATAATAGGTAATTTTTTTGCAGTTGCTGCAAAAGCGGGTCCTGTGTATCCAATTACCTATCGGAACTTGGTACATATTCCATCAATACATCTGGCTGTGGCCCTTTGTTGTATCGAATTGTGATGTTATCATTAAATGCTTATTTTGTATTGTTTCTGCTAACAGCTGTATTAGAGGTAAAATCAACTGCATGAATTTGAAAATTTGTTCCTAAATACAAGTTGGTATTCATTGCTAAATCAGTTTAGTTACTATCACTACTATACTCCACAACTAAATATTTTGATAATGTGTACATTTTTCGGTAGAAATCAGTTTCATTAAGAAGGTAGTTATTAATAGACGTCAATTTTAATTATTTGTTTCCAGTAATTAAATATTTTCTTTAGATTTAAACATCAAACAGTTACATGCTTAAAAATAAAAATTATAACTATAATTGATATCTCTTCTTTCAAATGTTTAACACTTTTAAAAGTATTCATTTGACATTGTGGGTTACCTATAATGCGAAGAGATGGCGCTGCCTTGCAGCTTAAGAATGGCTAGAAGAATTTCGACGTGGCCAACAGGGCCGCGGTAGCATAATTGGTCAGTTCATTCGCCCGGATTGCGAAGGGTGCGGATTCGAGTCCCGTCTGCTGCCTGTTCCGCGTGGATTTTTTTCTAGTTATATTTTCTTTAGATTTAAACCTCAAGCAGTTACATGCTTAAAAAAATAAATGTATATGAATTCATTAGATATGCTCACACATCGTGTATTAATAAAAGTATTTAGCACCGATATTTAGTACATTACTTATTTTTTCAGATCATTATTCTCAAGTTGATTATGAAAGATAATTGCCCGGGAGTACGGCGCGCAAACATATTGGGTGTAAGACATTTAAAGCCATACAAAGCTAACTCTATTGTCTCTAGTGAAACTTGTCAGTTTAATGTGGAGAGTGACGATCATATGGAGCTATCTGAACACGAAACAGCAATTAACAAATAAGCTTTCTTGTTTATTAGGTATATATTTGTGTTTTCTTCGCTGTTTTATTAGCGTTAAATAAATGCAAGTGTGAATCGTTTTGCAAAACCAAATGGCCTTCTGATCGCTAAAATCTATTAACGATTACCTAGAATCAGTGCCTCTACAATTGCCTGCACTTTAATTCCTTATGAGATTTAGATATAGATACAGGATCACTTTTACGTGTATAGTGCTGTCCCGGATGTCGGATCTAGAAAAATGGATTGTGCGTTAACCTTAATGGCTCGCATTATTGAACAAAAGTAACCTTTCGTTCTGTAATCTGAGCTTAATGGCATTTCATACTAGGAGGGACCTAACTAAGAAGACGTTTAGAATAAAAAAAAAAATGGTTGCCTGTAAAGTCGGTTTTACGGGCGAAGATTTTACGTGACAACGTCTTTTTCTCGGTAGAATATTTATTGATATGAATATAATTAAATTGCACAATAGGAACAAGGAATTGAATGAAAATAAGAATTGCACAAATTTTAACTATAGAAATATATTTTGTTTACTAAAACATTGTACATGTAAACTTAAACTTAACACGAGAGACTCATCGTAACGTTACCGAGCGTTACACTTTTTCATAAGTGACTCCCAGCCGCAACCTAATTTAAGACGTTGTCACGTCAATAGTTAATGCTGAAAGATGTTGATAAAAAAAAATTAAATAACAAAAGAAACAAAGAAAATTTTACTAGAATAAAATCCACGCACGCCAAGCTGCCTGGTATCTAAATTTTCTTTAGATTTATACATCTAGCAGTTAAATGCTTCAAAAATAAAAAATGTATCTAAAACAAAAGAAAGTTGAGTAAACGAACTCGGCTTTCCATAAGCTTAACAATTTTATTAATGCGACTTTTAGGTGGGTTGACTTATCCCACCTATACAGATGGTTTACTCTAATTACAGTGCGTACGCGACTTATGCTGGCACTTCGCATGATTTGACAACAGTCTCTCATTTTCTTTCCTAGAGCATGTTATGAAAATAATTATTGCTGTCTAATGCAGACCAGCCCCCGTAGCATGAACACTATAATTTACATTATATCACGTTTTTTTATCGCGTCTTACTGTCAAACTCCATTGAAATTTGACAATTAAGCGTGATAAAAACGCCTTATATATCATATCTTAGTGTTTATGCTAGGGGGGCAGGTACAAATACTAAATGCGAATAGTCATATGAAGTACTAGCATTGCATTTAAGTAGGCAGGCAAATTACCTAGGAAAATATAAAAATGTAATATTTTTGAATTTCTTCAATAAATATTATAAACTAAATACCTATTCAAGGAATTCATTGTTACTTTAGCTTTCGCCCGCGTCTTAGCGTTCGCCAAGCATTCGCGTTATAGTTCCGTTTTTAAGATTCCCTCAGGAGCCAAATTTTTATCTGGAATAAAAAGCAGAAGGGTTCTCAATCAAGGTAAGAAACTATAAGTGTGTTAAATTTCATTCAAATCCGATGAACCGTTTCTGCATTTACTCCCAGAATAAAAAATTTAAATGGAGCCAATGGATATGCCATACCGTTCACTCACCGAACAAAATTTTCCGCCACTTTTAGTGGGAGACGAGGTACAGTTTGTCTATAAAGTCGTGACATGAATGTTTGAGGAACGAACATTATTCATGTGTCTGGCAACACCAAACTTATGCACATCAGCTGTCATCGAGTTTCAGTTGTGGAACAGTTTTCCTTTTGTATTTTTTATTGTTTGGATTAAACTGTAATAAATTAAGACGAAACTACGCAGAAAGGTATAAAAATGAGTAAAGTAAATCGAAGTGGCACGCGGGAAGTGATTTTTAAAGTTTTCCAGCGATGTTTCAAAGACTATCAAGCTGGACGAATTTTGTGGGATTTGGATGATGTTTATGGGCGAACAGCATCTATGACGGGTATGTAATCGTGTAACTATTTGTTTGTAATCTGCCTGAAGTTACAAATTTACTCAATTTACGATTTTGAGCCCAAAAAAAGCATTGTTTACATTGCACATTTTTAAGTTAGATTGACATTGTAAATAGGTAATATTGTAGTACCTACGACCATTTCTTTTGATACGTTATTATGGTTCAACTCGGTCACGTTTTCTACCAATTTTGAATTAATTGCTTCATGTCAATAATTTATCGTTTCTATTCCGTTACATATTTTTTTTACTTTTTTTTTTCAGGAAAATCAGAGAGTCCGATAGTCAACGAAGGTTTTAAGAATGATGGAAAGTTTGAAACTCCTGGGAAAACAGGCAATGCCGACCAAAGAAAGAAATGGTCACGTAAAGAACCATGGCCAGATGCTTTTAGTGAAGATACCTATCACTAATTTTACTAACTGCACATTTACAAATTGTTTCTCTAACTAAACTTTTTATATACTATAAAATGATTTTTAGTATTATTTTCGTAACAAGTGTGTTAAAAAACGTTGTATGATGAATCTTATTTGTATTGATGATTACCTAACAGCTCTGATCTCAATGGCACCTCAGCGGTAATCACCAACTTTATACACTTTTACACTATAAAGTACTATTTATTTTATCTAAAATGATTTTATTCTGATTCAATTAAATATGCTTGGCGAAACTTTTTATAAGCATAGGTACCTATACAGGGCGTCCCACGGCTACCTCACACGGAGGGAAAGTATATTAAATATTGAAGTTAGGATATTTTACTGAAAGAAGACATCATTTTATTTTTAATAATAACTAGAACTGCATTCACAGATTTTTTAAAAATCGACTGCTTCAACTGGGAATCAAACTCGTGAAATTTCGTAAAGAAAATACGATATATTTTATTATAACCATCGAAAGGGTTTATCATTAAGATTATTTTTTACTAATTAACATAGCATTTTAAATGAAAGGAATGTCTTATTACGTGATAAAAAGAATAAAGTGATATACGTATGCATTTCTTTTTGAACTCAGTTACAATGCGATTGGCTGAAATTTGTAAAAATAATAATTCGAAAATAGAACACATACATTTTCAAGCGTCTGTACTCCTAGCACGAACCATTATCGAATTCGAATAGTTTGCGAGTGTGAAATTTCAATGTCAAATTTTGTAAGGAAACTTATACAGCAGCACCACAAAGTACGTAACGAGAACTAAAAATCAGTACACATTTGACAATGACATTTTGCACTCGAAAACTATTCGAATTTGATATTGGTTCGTGCTAAGGGTACTGATCTTTTTTTGTGTTTTTTAATTTTAGTTAAAAACCCGGTTCTCTTAATACATTTTTACAAAGGGAATCTAAGTACGGAAAGATATCTAGAAATACTTAATATTTTAAGAGGTGAGATCAATAATCTTCCTGATGCAAATCGACGAAATCTCATTTTCCAGCAAAATGGGACTCATAACAGTAGGAGAACTGCCGAGTTTCTTAATGAACACTTTCCTTCGTGGATCGGTTCTTATGGACAAATAAGATGGCCAGCGAGATCCCCAGATCTTACCCCACTGGACTTTTTTTGTGGGGTTATGTAACAGATGTAGTATACAAGAACGGGTAAGACAGTGTGCAGGAGTTACAAAATACTTCAGACGTATTATTACAAACATTCACCACGCAAAGATAATGAAATCGACAGGCAGAGAAAACATTAATAGAGTGAGAATTTGCAAACAACAAATCGGATCACATTTTGAATATTTGATACATTTCGTTTTTTATTACTTATTGTTTAATAATTTTAATAAAATGTGTAATTTTATGACTTTTCTTTCATTTAAAATGCTATGTAATTTAGCAAAAAATAATTGTTATGATTAACTCTTTCGATGGTTATCATAAAACATGTAGGTTTTTTTTTCGAAATTTCACGAGTTTGATTCCCCGTTTTAGCAGGCGATTCTAAAAAAATCTGTGAATGCAATTCTAGTTATAATTAAAAATAAAATGATGTCTTCTTTCGTTAAAATATCCTACCTTCAATATTTAATATACTTTCCCTCCGTGTGAGGTACCCGTGGGACACCCTGTATATAAAACAGAAACAAAATACGACTGTATAGTGTGTCTTATTAATTACCTATTTTACTTGAATGAACTGGTAGTATCAAAATCATTTTGGTCCGACTGTAAAGGGTTGCTACATGCATACTAGTGGCGCCATCATTTAATGTCACGACTTTATAGACAAACTGTACACAGGTATAGCACACTAACGAAAATATGCAATACTCACAACCTCGAGCGAATTGTTGCTATAAACGCACACTTCAAAAATCACGTCACACAAACAAAAAAACGCATGGTACACACTAACACATTATAAGTAACTATGCAATTGTTCGAGCGGCACAAACACAAAAGTTAGGGATGGGACATTAAAAGAATGAACGGTATTTGAATGAAGAGGTCTTGTTGAATGACCGTAATGTTTGTTTATAATGAAATCAAAAAGTTTCATTTATAAATATCTATCTGAAAGCTTATTTATATTTTAAGTACTTATGATTCTTATACACAAACTTCACAGATGTATAGTAGTGATAGTTTTTTTTGCAAATTATCTTCCTGTTCAAAATCTTTATAACTGCGTTTACTCCATTTTATCGGATACCCTTCCATTTAAATCCTTTTACCCCCCTTTATAATAGCAAACGCAGTGTTTTGAATAACAAAAAAAAAACCTAAGGGTGTTTTTAATATCGTGCGGATTTCATCACGCACGCGGGATTACCCCGTATGCGTGACACCCGGAAGGGTCTTTTCTGTATAAGTATTTATTGTAATGCGTAGACTACGGACGCGGGATGCGGGGCGTGATGCACCGAGCGGGTACCCGGCAAGCGTGTGCACATCTATGACACGGTAATATTATCTATACAGTATTGTGACTCCGCCCTGTCCTTGAAAATAAATGCCTACACCGAGCGCTGCGTTGGCACGCGGTAGGGCCGCCAGCCTACAGTATTTTATGTACTTAGTTTTGTTTTTAACGCGAGTGTAGGTAGATTACTCGTTTGTCTCTTTTTTTATCCTAACCACTTATTTATATATTATTCCAGATATTTTGCCCGATGGAAAAACCTAAATACCTAAATATTAGAAACAAATAACGTACTAGTAGATAGGTATATAAAAAATATTCTATAAAGGTAAGACACCTTTCCAATATTTCAGGTAATTTAAAAAATGATATCTCTGGGTGTGTTATTGAAGAGTTCAAGCAACCAAAAACAGCAATT